CCTGAGCAGGCAAGCTTGACCTGCTTTTCCAGTTCTTCAAGGATATATTCCTTTGTTCGAGGTTCACCAGCCTTGAAGAATTGTTTAGGTCCCTGAATCTCTGAGCAAGTAATCATACCTCGAAAATCGCATGATAGCCCTCATTTGTAGCTTTCTCCTGCTGTGTTCCGCCCATTTTGCATTTCCGACAAGGACAATTGCCCTTGCCGCCGATATGCCCAGAGACCTCACTCTGCATGGGATTATCGGACGGCCCGGCATTGACATAGATGCATAAGCAAGTTGCACAGCCAGTCTCGGGGTCTTCAACTTCGATAGGCTCTGTATGGGTCGTCCTGAACATATTGTTAGCGCGTGTCAGCATATACCGTGACCTTGAGATGAAGAACGTACTCCAGTGCGGCCTTGAATTCACGAAACTGCTCCGAGACACTAGCATTCGGGGATGTTGAAACAAAGTGGGTGTGAAATTCTTGCTGGAGGAGCTGGCGCGGGAGATTCACGTGTGTCATGTAAGCATTCCAGTGTTTATTCCAAGACTTGGTTCGGTTGCCGGACACATCATCACCGAAATAGTTCACAAAGCTAGAGTATATTGGACGTCCATTAGCTATGGTGCGCTTCGGATTTGGCATGCGGGAAGGGTGGCCAGCTTCGATGGTAGCGGCTGAGAACGATGAGTCAAAATTAAGATATTAACCCATGTGGACGTGCCTGCCCATTTTGGAATCTTGCCCGCTTTTTCGAGGTCGTGGTAGTTCTCGGTCAAGTCTTCAGAACAGATGAGCGATGTCCCTGTATCCAGGATTGTTGCCTCGCCCTATTTCCATTTGAGCCGGCCGTATATTGCAAAGGAAACATCACATACCTGTTGGTTGAATGTGACCGAAAATGCATCAGCATACACCTTGCCCCGAAACTTGACCCAGCGTATAGGAATGACAAATTTTCCATTGCGGAGACGAGAAATTTCGTTAACGTAGTAGTGTGTTACCCCACCAGCGTCGTACATGGGACTCAGGATATCAAGATCCATGACCTTGCGCCATTTTTGAGCATGCCAGATCTCACGAATAACCCCATCCTCGGGGATTTCTGGATATACATGAATGAGTTTGCGCGTGGTTGGGTTCACCCAGTCCTTGTAATGCTCATTAGCCCGTCGGAAGGCACAAGATAACCTCCTCAATACCTTTGCGATGATGGCGGTAGGGTCATTCATAAAAAAAAACATTGCCTTGGACCGATTTGCACGGGATCGTTGTAACCCCACATTGCTTGCGAATCCCCTTCTGCACTCGACGAAGGTGATCAAAGGAAGGTACATCCTTGCACTTGGCTTCCTTCAAAACCCACAGAAATACGCGCATTAATGAGCTCGAGATGCGGAGTCACGGAAGATTGTCCAATGTGTCAAGGAGAAACATCTGAAAAACAATGTCAACCGATTTCGATGTCTCCAAATCAATACACACCACTCTCGATGGGTACGGAAACCATTCGTTCGATGAATCAGGTCTGTCGACACCTTGAATTTCATCCGGTTCCGGCTCTCGAAGGTCTGATCAAGTGGTGCATCAGTGGGACAGAAGTTTTAAGAAGAGTTATGAGCTCTTGTGGCTCTCATGCATTGTGGATGCCCAAAAGGCAGTGAGAGCATGCGCGTCGCGGTCCAAAAAGTCGTTGACAGATGCACGTGAGCGTGTAGAGCTATCACGTGATCCGAAACGAACCAGACACTTCTTGACGCGCTCCCCCATGTCGACTGCCAGAGGATTGAATGCACCAATATTACGCATCACATCGGCGAGGAAATCATCCTCCTCATCCTCCGCAGCAACAATCTCGTCATCCTCAGGCCCAAACCCCAGTTTCCTGGCCGTCGCACCGGGATTCCACATGCCAAAAGACACGGCCGCTTGCCGCAATTGCTTGAGTTGCTGGTCTGGACTTTCGTTGTCGTCACCGGCGGTGAAATCAGCTCCGTTGAGCCGGTAGTCCGCCCACATCTCGGCTTCTGTGTCACTCATCCTGGTTGAAGATGCACTTGCAACAGGCCCGCTGTAGTTCCGTGCCGCAAACTGTGTTTCTTGAAGTTTAGCATTCACGGAATCGGTCTCTCTTTCCTTCTGCAGTCTTTCCCGCGCCCTCCTGGCTTCTTCAATTTGGTCCACCGCTTGCAAATGAGGCCTACTCTGCAAGTGCCTCGCAGCATTCTTTACTGTGATCCATGTGCGCAGCTCCGCTGGGACCGTGCTCGAGCAAACTTTGCACTGTACCGTCGTGCGGTCCTCGTTAAAGCTGAAGTCTATATGGCGGCCATGAAGTCACTTCAAGTCCATTGCTTCTCATTCAATCGTACCTTCTTCGCTTATCCCACTTCCTTTTGGCGGCATCGAGCAAGAGACAAAACGAGGCTTGCGGCGAACAAGTGGCCTGGAGCTGTGCTGGGCAGTCAGCAACCGCCGATCCTTCAAGTCTATCTGACTTAAACTTTGCAGCCCCTGGAGACTAGCGCCCGGCTTCCCAAACAGGAACGGAAGACATATAATTACCTAAACAAAGACGCTTCCCCACCATATTCCCCCCATGTCTTCTCGTGCCAGTACTCCGAACTTTGACGACGACGACGACGACTTTCAGGAGATCGCAGCCGCCATGGCCCAAAAGTCGCCGGGTGTACCAACTACCAGCACTGCAAAGCGTAGCCATGGGACGATGGCAGGCGGCGGCAATGACTCGGACAAGGAAGAGCAGAGCGCCCCTGCTGTTGCTCCGGTTACCCTCACCAACCAAAATGTCGTTACTGCGGCCAAGCTCTATGGGGAGCGGAAACGACTCCGGACCGAGCAAGTCACGGAACTCGAGGTTTTCGTGAAAGTGAGTCCACCTGTCATTCACTCGGACACATCTCAGCTTTCTTCGAGGCCCCTGCCTCGCTCCGAGAGGCTCAGCTTTTTGCTTATATGCTCACGCTCAACAACAAGCTCGACAAGCTCGTGACAACCAAGTCAGCTTATGAGATTTCGGTGGACCTCCTGGTACTATTCCTTTCCTCGTCCGTTCTCAATCACGCTGACCCCTATGTCTCATTCGCAGAAGAACATCCATAACTACAGTACGGCTGTCCTGTTTTCAAACAAGATTACTGTCTACAAGGGGGACGGACCTAAGAATATTCTATTGGTATGTTCGGTCTCTGACATTGCTCTGTACTCATTTCAGATCCTCCGTAGGCCATCATCAAGAAGTACCGCTTTGACGTTCCTGCAGGCCTGGAGAACATACCGGCCGACTGGGCTAAGATCGTCGACGCCGTGCAAGAGTCCCTCACCCAGCAGAGATCCAAGATTAAAAAATTGGTCCGTCCTTTGTAGTTGTCGGATCTCGATATTCATCAGTCTTTTTAGATCAAATGGAGCCTCAAAATAAACAAGAAAGATAAAGAATACGCACCGCCGGCCCAGCGCCAGAATATATTCAATCTGACTGTCGCACTGGTCAAAGGAACTAAGTGTACCGTCAACATTATTTTGTGCGCCCGTGTGGCGTTGATGGTATGTTCTCATGTATCACACTCCTCTCAGTCACTTAATTCGAGGTCAGCGCTGTGTCCTCCTCAAACATTCGGGGTCAAACCATTGGAACAAAGTCGATGATCAGTTGGCCAAGATTCGTAAGCAAGCGGACGGCGATCCCAAGAAGATCATCAAGTATGTCGCAACTATCACCATAATTATGATATCTAACCGCCTTCTTGTAGGGCTTTTACCCATCTCCTCGAGAAAGATCAGGCCACCACGGCGTCAAAGACTACGAGCTCGACAACGAGAATGTCGACGAGTTCCAAGAGTCCGTCGACAATGTTATTGATGCGGGAGCAATCGACGTGGCAACCTCCGTCGAGGCCGAATAAATATTGTATGCGCACGTAAAGATACATTTTGAATTCAATCATTATTCATTCATACATCGGTCGGGCAAAGGAAAAATAAAGTGGTATGGGCTGCTGGTCAGCAAGAAATATGACCTGTGCCCGCTCAGCTCTGAGCCATGTTGGAACTCCAGCTGGCGGTCAGCTTGACCTGGTTCCATGCTGGACCTATTGGCTCCTGAACCTGGCACCCACCCGAAAACCAGCTGGTGGCCATCATCTCACGACATCTCGCACACATGTTGCGCCCAGGTGGGGACTACATGGCCGACCGTTGGCGGTGTAGAGATGGTAGATTGAGAATGGGCGTCATGGGGTTCGGGTGACCTCCACGCTGGTAAATCCTCGCGGATGCTATATAAGAAGGTTCATCGGTGAAGGCATTGAAGATCTTGAGGAGGCTTGACTCGGATGATTCCGGACATCACTGATCGATGATCAGTCACGCAAAGCAACGTCACTCTCACACTTTGTCATCGACCATGATGTCAAGACTTAAGAACTTTTCCAAGGTCGCCGTCGAAAACGAACTGTTTGCCTGCACATGGTCGGAAGTTAGATGCTGAAATTTGAACTGCCATGTCAAGATCTTCCAAGGTCGCCGTCGGAAACGAACTGCTAGTATTTTGTGTATTGCATGACGATGGTCGGTTCACATGCTGAAATTCGGTAGTACTGCCAGTGCATTCTCCGGTTGAAGAGGCTGGCCACTGACGGGCTTCTCGATTAGAATTCAAGTGGCACGCACGAGGTTTGTGCGTCAAAGTAAAGTCATTTCTGTCTCTCATAAACTACCTGTCCACTGAAAACTCGGATGAGTGCGCGACGCCGCCCAAATATGGAGTAACCTCTTTTCTTCAGACCTGCAACACATCACTTCTTGTTGACCAGATTAAACGCTGAGCTGTCGTGGACTTAGATGAAGTCTGCGGTCCCTTAACGCACTTTTTTGAGCCCCATTCCGCCCTGGTATGCGGTTGTAGTGCCATTTTGTTATACTTCCATCTCCCGAACTTATTTCAGTCGCAAGGCGCTAACCTATTCACCCCACTATTGAGTTAGGTACGCCGTCGTAGATCATGGCGATCGCCGTCTTTCAATACGAGAGTATCCATCCCATTGCAAGAGGGAGACGGGGGTTCGATTCCTCCCGGCGGCATGCCTCCAGGGCGCGGCCAGATTTTTTATTTCCTTCAACGCAACTTGCTCACTCACTTATTCACCCCGCTAGCTAGGTAGGTACGCCGTCGTGGACCACGGTGGTCTCCGTCTCACTTAATTAAACGTGGAGTGTCCAACATAAGAGGGAGCCGGAGGTTCGATTCCTCCCAGCGGCATGGTGAAGGTCCTCGGCATTTTTTCCTCCAGTTCTCATCTGCGCATTAACTTATGTAGCCCAGTAGCTGGGTAAATAACCATCGTGGACCACGGAGGTCGCCCTCCGTCAATTGTCGGTGTCAAGCGAATTACATGAGGGAGCCGGGGGTTCGACTCCTCCCGGCAGCATAACTAAGAGTAGCTTCTTGAGTTTTTTTGTCTACGCTCTCTAATCTGCACATTAACTTATTCATCCCGCTCATTGGGCAAATAAGCCGTCGTGGACCATGGTGGTCTCCCTCCATTAATTATCGAGGCCAAACCGTTGCATGAGGGAGACAGAGGTTCAATTCCTCCCGGCGGCATGTGGTCGCCCGCGCCTTTTTCCTTCAATTCATCTCTCTAATCTACGCACCTCCTTATTTAACCCGCTACAGAGCGAGATAAGCCGCCTTGGACCACGGAGGTCGCCCTCCATCAATTGTCGGGTTCAAGGAAATTGTATGAGGGAGCCGGGGGTTCGACTCCTCCCGGCGGCATTGTGACAACGTATATTAGATACCCCGAAATATCGATGAGATGGGTCGTAAGTCTCGATACTTGGGTGAGTGGGTCAAGAGACAAGATGAGCTCCGTATGCCGCAGTGACTGAACAACTTTTGGGTGAAAGGGAAAACAGCAAGTGTCTTTTGGGAGCGGGGGGATGTAGGGATAATTTGTGGGGTATGGGAGGAATGTAAGTCAATAACTTGGTCCTGTAAAATGCGGAAGTCAGTGGCAGACAGTGAAGATAAAATACTTGTGAGGCAGTTTGGTCTTTAATGACCGGAGGATGATTTGGGCAGAAGAGAAAGCTTGGTGAGTGTATTTGCTCAATAAGCTGGTGAGAGATTCGATGGTGACACTGTTGTATTCCATCTACGTTGGCAGAATACAGGGGGACAATGTAACGAACATAGAAGAAAGAAGTAAGGGCTTAAATGCATTTCTTGATGCCGATAATCGGACCAAGTAAGATGAAATTGTAAAAATAAATATAGAATGTCCATGTGGAATGCACTGCCAATGAGAGTGAAACCATGGTGATTATTGGGAATTGGGAGAGTTAGCTTAGGCCTATTTCATCTGCCATTGTGGTGAAACACCCTGAAATATCGTCCAACCAATGGTAAGCATCAGTGACGGACAAATTGGATTCTTGCAGCACATGGAGGCTGAACAAAATTTCATACTCGGGCTCTGATGGAGCGGATGGGGTTCCGAGGGCTTTCACATGGTTTGCATGGTTGTTGCGATGTCGAGGGGTCCGAGGAAAATTCTGAGAAGTGCACGATCAATCCATCAAATCGTTTCCCACGGTTCGTCTTGAGTTCGGCAGACCGCCGAAAAGCCATGGTTCTGGATCAAGTGTCTCGTAGTGGCCAGACACAATCTGTGGTTGATTTATGATATCCCACGAGCACAATTGATAGTGCAAACTTGATGTATTTCAATGTAAACCATGAAATGATGTCACAGCATGTTGTGAGAGAAGTCAACTTTTTCTTAAACACATTTACATGATGTCTTATTCACCCCACTAACCAGGTAAATATATGGCACACATACTGTCCGAAAAATAAAAAGTAACAATGTTGGTCCGTTTTTGAGTTTTGCGCAACAATCATCTCGCATCACGCATGGAAATGACACGATTGAGCGGATCCCTGAAGAGGAAATGACAATGAACCAACTCGGAGGAAAGAAAAGAGAAAACACACAATGAGTAGGTTGACTTACACCGAAAACACAATGACCCTGGCAAAGTTTCCAAAAAAAACACAATGGTGTCTTGGTGGCCCCGGGACATAGCTTGTGATTTCGGTTGTACCGCCACTGATTTTGGATCAGTCATGCGTGGTCCGGTCAGCCCCTGATCTTATCGCGATCTTGACCCTCTTTCCCCTCCGCCATGGATGACACCGCAGGCCATGACGAGATCCGCCATTTCTTCATGGAGTGCCATCAGATTTCGAATGAGGCCCAGTTTCTGGTTGACTCCCTGCCCAACGTGGAAACAGCAGCCGTGGAGCGAGCAAGCCGGCAGCTAATTATAAATGCCATGCGCGAAATCCTGATCGCTCTGAATGACCCTCATTCTAATCCTGCGGACCTCGAGCATCTCATCACCTATGTCGACAGCCTACTCTATCCGCTTGACGACTTTCTGTCCAGCCCCCCTCTCCCGCCTCACACACACATCCCACGTCGGAAGACCGGTGCGAGAGGCCGCCCCGCATATGATCTGGATCTCGACAGAGCCATCCTACTCCATGATTTGGGAAACACCTGGCAGGATATAGCTACAGCGATTGGAGTTTCGCGGTCCACGCTGTACAAGCACATGGAAGATCGCGGGCTCCCTACTGCGAGGAAAGAATGGTCGGATCTGACAGATGACGAGATCGATGAGCTTGTCTCTGAAATTTCTCTGGCTCACCCCTTCGTCGGTACCACCATCGTCTTGGGGCATCTTGAAGCGCGCCAGGTCCATCTCCCACGAGCCCGGGTCCAGGAAAGTCTGCGCAGAGTGGACCGCATAGGGGTTCTCGTCCGGTGCGGTCATCGTGGCTCGATCCATTTATAGCCTCTAACAGTCAATTTTAGCTGGTCGGGCATTATAAAGCGACGAGTTTACCGAGTGCGCGGGGCGAATGCCCTGTGGCATAATGATGGGAACGAGAAACTTCGTCCGTGGGGATTTGGGTACACGGCTGCATTGATGGGCATTCGAGGGTGATTATCTACCTGGAGTGCCGGTCAAACAAGCGATCGAAGACTGTCTCCGATATCTTCATGAAAGCGGTGCGAGAGTTTGGCTGGCCTAGCCGAGGACGAGGGGATTTCGGACGAGAGAACAACGGGATGGAGCGACTCTTGATAGAGCACTGGGGTGAAAATCATCGTGCATACCTTCGGGGCCGGTGTGTCTTTTCTCTGTATTATCCGGCATTATTTTACTGACTGACACAGGTCACTGCACAATGTACGGATCGAGCGATTATGGCGGGATGTACGAAAGGACACCCTCGAGTCCTACCGCCAAATATTCATGTATCTCAAGTCCGCACTGCTCGAAACAAGACTCCGATTGCGATTTTCGAGCTGAGTCGTGAAACGGCCATCCGCCGAGGGTACTGGACAGGCGACCCGGGCGATGATTTGAGCACCGCCGCTGATCCCCTTTACGGATATGATGGCGAGGCACCCCCTCCACCTATCCTGGAACAGAACGGTGAGCTTGATGTGGTGTCTGAGGAGCCGGTGGGGATCGATGCAGAACGAGAAGCTGGGATATGTGTCAATGACGATGAAGATCTGCAGAATGTTCAAGAACTGATGGCCGACTTTGACTTTGGGCGGGACGATGAAAATTGGGGGATAGATGTCTATTGTCAGGCAGTGTTACTGTTGACCGCACGGTGTAGCTCATGATTTACTTCATATGATTTGGATCCCAATTGTCTCTGTTCCTGTATCTCAAGACTGGTACTTATATGCTTCTGCTCTCCGTATGTTAGTTGCGAGCCGCTCCACACTTCAAGCATCCTGGCATCTACAATCTCTGCCTGTATTTTTTTTTTTACTGATTGGTCGCTCCCAAATCATTCAAGTCGATGTATTCGAATGCTCTCTTTTCAACGGGGAACTGCACGCCACCCTCTGGGCGGGATGAGCTTAAATCCCGGTTTGGCAGTGTCTGTACTCACGGGATCCCCGCCGGAAAGCCGAACTCCGCCGCAACCATCTCATCTATGCCTACACCGGGATACTTATACTTTACCACTCTTCGCACCCTTCAGATTGCCCTCAATTTTTTTGAAGGGGGGTTGCATGCCAAGCTTTTAGTGCTAAAACCCGAACAAGACCCGCTTGGCTGTGTTTGGCTGTTGAACATCCTTCCTCGACGGCCGTCTTTCTCCACAACTATTGTGCATAACAATGCTAGGCAATATCTGTTCATTGTGCGCCAATCTCTGCGCCAGATTCATATTTAGCATATGTTTCTCAGTAAAGTTTTGTCCCCATAACTACAATTTAAAAGACCTCGGGCGCGCTCATGTTTGGCTTCCCTGATTGCTTGATTCCACCACCGATTTCAATCTCCCCCATTGGCAGAATCTGGCCCCCACGTTGTCAGAGTTCTCCAGGATATACCTTTATACCTTCAATCTTCTAGGAAGCGAGCTTATTTTTTATTTTCAATGTTCCGTCCTCTTCACACCAGCAGTCTAATTGCTGAGTCAGAAGTTGATGCAGCGAAGACGGTGGTTCGATTCGAGATGAGCATGGAAATCTACTTCAAACTACCCAAAGTAGCACAATAAACTCAACCTTCAACTACCGGCGCTTTCCATTTATCGCGGTCGCGCTTTTCGCAGTTATTTCCTGCCATTCCCGAGTCTGTGTCATGTTCCGATCCGGATGATAAACCTGAATCAGGAGGACGATTAAGTGACTGAAGGTATACGCCTGGATGAATCACCTTACTGCACTGAGGCGCTTGAATTGCATGTCATCAGGCATCTCATTGAGCTTACCCAATGAGTTGCGCTGTTTGATGTTAGGATGGGGGAAACGAGAGATAATCCTGCGCCGCAATTGGTGCCAACCCAGGAGGAGTAGACCGTCCGCGTCGTCGAGATCCTTCTGATGGCCCGTCGATTTGGGCTTCTGGGCACGACGAGGCGATGGAGGAGGAGTATCGACGTCAACCCATTCCGGTTTAGGCTTGGGTGCAGGCTTCGGCTTGGGTGGAGCGTAATCTCAGTGTCGGAGGCTGATAAATATAGAGTGTCGGAA